GCCACTATGTTTAAGTCTACTATGACTCTGCGATAACTACATTTAAACTCAAAATTTAGTGAAGTTCTATGATGAGAGTCTAAAACTGAGAACTTTTCTAGTTTTGAGCACAACCCGAGTGTCTGTAAATCAGTCTGATGCTTTATGCATGAGTGTTATAAATGAATTGGTTAGTTATAAAATATTTTGTAGTTGCAGCTTGGATGTTGCATGATAAAGAAAGCTAGAGACAAACTCAATTTTCTTTATCATGGTTACAGTAGTTATAAAACTCATGTTTAATATTAATTGGTGTTTGTAACTTGAGTTATAGGTTCTGCAATGTGACTGATAGCTGAATGCTCATTGGAAGTTGAATGTCTAATGAATGATTCATGAGTTTTAGAAGTAACCTTGTAACTTTATAGTTTTCATGTTCTGTAGCTAAATGTATAATTTTATTGACATGAAAAAATTACAATGTATAAAATCATCTCAATTTTTGGGCTTTAGCACTCTTGCCTGGTAGTCATACAAAGGTAATATTGTCAGCATTGATAATGRCAGARGTCAAGCAAACAGTAAACGTCAGTGTAGAGCCAGCATCAGTGTCATGTTAACAATACAGGAAACCGACAAGTATTAGAATAATTGATTTCAGATTCATGTACATCTACATTGTGGTACATGTATATGTGCAAAGGTTTACATAATGAATGTAGTTGAGTAATATATTGAGTAATATTTTGAGTAATATTTTTGAATATTTTAGGCTCAGCATTCAACTGTTAGGATTTCATTCATGCAGCAATACTCTCTCTGATTGGTTTAAAGCCAAAAATAGCAAAATCCATAAGACAATAGAAAGAATTTTTGAATCTGTTATTTATTAGTGTTTTTAGATTTCAGCAGATATCAGCATGTGGTGCAAACGTAAAGACATGAAATTTCACATAGACATCCACAAGTTTCCATTACTCTATAATTTCATTTGTATGTTTTTAGTGTATYTGTRATTGCTAAATTGCTAAACTGGGACAATATTGATCAGTGTAAAATAATTTTTAGTCTAGTGTTACAGTTCTAATAGAGATTAGTTTATCCCCCTCCCCCCCAATAGTATACATAATGAATGCAGCCTAAAAGGTAAATGTTGTAAAAAAAAAAACACGACACAGACCAACCAATAAAGTGTGAAAAAACTTTGACTTGACTTTCTTGATGCAAAAATTTAAAACATTTCCTTTTTGTCCAGGTATGTTTAATAAAGCT